CTCAGGTTTTATTTATTTATTTTTTTTGAGCCCTTCGGATATGTTATCCCACTGTCTTCTGACCTCTGTGATTTCTGGTGAGAAATCTGCTGTTAATCTGTTGCAGATCCCTTGTATGTGATGAGTGACTTCTCTCTTGCTCCTTTCAAGAGTCTCTCTTTGTTTTTGTCTTTTGAAAGTGTGATTATAATGTGTGTTGGTATGCATCCTACCTGGAGTTTGTTGAGCTCCTTGGATATGTAAATTCATGTCTTTCATCAAATTTGGGAAGTTTTTGGCCATTATTTATTCAGATGTTCTCTCTTCCTTTTGCTCTGTCCCCTCTCCTGGGATTCTCATTATGCGTATGTTGGTATGCTTGCAAGTTTCCCATAGGTTTCTTAGGCTCTGTTCATTTTTCTTCATTCTTTTTTCTCTATGTTCTTTGCATTGCATAATATCTATCAATCTATTTTTGAGTTTGCTAATTCTTTCTTCTGCTAGTTAAAATTTACTTTTGAGCCCATCTAGTGGATTTTTAATTTTAATTATTGTGCTTTTCTGCTCCACAGTTTCTATTTGGTTCTCTTTTTATTTAATTTTTATATATTTATTGATATTCTATATTTCATGAGGCATTATCATCATACCTTCTTTTATTTTTTTTAATTTTATTTATTTATTTTTTTCCCCCAAAGCCCCAGTAGATAGTTTTATGTCATAGCTGCACATCCTTCTAGTTGCTGTACGTGGGACGTGCCCTCAGCATGGCCGAAGAAGCAGTGCGTTGGTGTGCACCCGGGATCCGAACCCGGGCCGCCAGCAGCGGAGCGCGCACTTAACCACTAAGCCACGGGGCCGGCCCTCATCATACCTTCTTTTACTTTTTTCTGTGTAGTTTCCTTTAGTTCTTTGGGCATATTTATAGTGGCTACTTTGAAGTCTGTTAAGTCTCCAGCATTTGATCACTCTCACAGTCAGTTTCTGTTACCTCCCCTTTTTCCTGTGTATGGATCAAAGTTTCCTGTTTCTTTGCACGTCTCATAATTTTTTGCTGGAAACTGGACATTTTAAATAGTATATTGGCGCGACTCTGGGTACTGACCTCCCCTCCACGTTTGTTATTGTTATTTGCTTGTTTGTTTAGTGATTCGCTGGATCATTTTAGTGAACTTTATTTTACCCCCATGGTGTGAAGCCTCTGATGTTGCTCCTTGGAGAGTGAAGCTGTGACCATGCACCCTGTCATCCTAGGATGACAGTGGTTTTGGTGAGGCTCTCTTTGATTGTCTCTTTCCCTAGCAACACTCAGCCATTAAGTTCTACTTATTGCTGGCTATTGCTCCATTATTTTCAACTATGCTCTGGGGCATGAATTGCTATACAGACTGGTCCAATTAAATTTGAGATTCTTTACAGGGATAGTTTTTTAGGTCAGTGTTTGAGATATTTTTCAGACTTCAGGAGACCACTTCTTAGCTGTTTATTTCTCTGGTTCTCTGTGGTAAACTGGCCAGCCTATGATTTAACTCATATCTTTAGTGAATTTGCCAGTGTGTTTCTAATTGCTTTTTACCACACCATCCATTATTTTAAGAGCACTCTTAGGCTTGAACTTCCCCACACTCTGTTGCAAATGGAGTAAGTTCCTATGGAGATTTGAAGCTCTCTGTTTTATGACCTGCCTCTTCCCCTGTGCAAAATATCTGAGCCAATGCTCTGGATCAGGGGGTGGGGACAGTGGCATGTTTCTCTCAGAGTGAGACCCCTCCTCAGAAGCTGGGCTCGGTGAAGGGGAGTAGAGCTGTCACCTCTGGTCTTCTTGACTTGCCTCTCCTCGCATGGGCTTCATGCTTTATAAATAAGCCAGGATGAAGGTGATCTGGACTCCAGCATTCTCGGTGTGCCAGACCCAATGTAGAGCCTCCATCCCATGAACGGCAGGTGGGCAGAAAAATGGAGCCCCCACTCTCGACCACACTTGCCCAGAACTTGGTCTCTACAACAGGTAGTTGGGGCAGGATGAGAAATTCTGAAGTCCCGCCCCTCCTGGGAAGATACTGTAACTCTCCAGCTAGGAGCTGGGAGGAGAGGGAGCCCTGTATTCTTGGCTACACACATCTAGAGTGAAGTTTTCATCATGCTCAGCTGAGAGAGGGGAGGGAGAGAGTGGGTCATGGTTCAAACACTGCAGACTCTCACTGTTCAGAATTTTAGTACATTTTCTTCATTAAATGTTTCTTAATTTGCTGTATGTCCTTAGAACCATTTCCAGAGACTTTAACTGGTTTTTTTATTTTATGGTTTCACTGAGGAGTATGTCTGCTGAGCTCCTCATGCTGCCATGCTGGAAGTTGATCATCCCTAGCTCTTCTCTTGCCCTCTGGATTTCCCAGCTGGGAGTCAGAACCCAGTCTACAGTCTGATTGAGCTCTTCTGGGCATGAGTGTAATATCAGTCCTTTGGTATATTGTTTGCAGAGATGACCAGAATGATTCCTTCCATCCCTGTATGCACATGCTACTCCTCCCTTCAAGAGTAAGAGAGCTTTTCCCTTCCTTTGGAATCTGGACTAGCCTTGTGACTTTCTTTGACTAATAGAAAGTGATACAAGAGACATTATGACAGTTCTGGGCCTAGGCCTCAGGAGGGCTGAAAGCTTCCACTTATTCCCTAGGAAGCCAGTGCTAGGTAGAGAATTTTAGGATAGATTATTGAATGAGGAGAGATGCCACATGAAGGAGAACAGAGACAATCCAGCCAATAGCCAACACAAAGACTACAGTCATTTGAGCAAGTGCATGCAGCAGTCATGCGAAGAGAGAGGTCCAGCCAGCCCAGCCAGCTCCCAGCAGTTTGTGCCGTCTTAACTGAGGTCTCAGCCATGTGGATGAGATAATCTTGGCTCCCTTAGCGCCAGTTGAGATGGCTCAGCTAACACCCTCTGGAGCAGAGATGAGCCATTCCTGCTGAGCACTGATCACATTCTTGACCCACAGAAGTGTGAGCAATAGTGTGGTTGATGTTTTAAACCACTAAGTCCTGAGGTGTTTTGTTTGGCAGCAATAGATAATAGAAACAGGTCCTCAGTTTCCTATAGCAGAAGGCAGTCCCCTAGAACTCCCTCTTTCGTCTTGAGCTAGAAGGGAGCAGACCTCACCCTCCAAAGGAAGACTTACGGTCTTCCAGTGACCCTTTCCAAAAGACCCCCTCACCAAATCCAGCCTTTCCACAAAGTCCTCTCTCAATGCTTTTGTAGAGTTGAGATTTGATCTTGGAATTGTAGATCTATTGTACTGTAGATTCTCAGTCAGACCCTCATGTTCAGCGTACTCCTACATTCATATTTATTTATTTGCGTATTACCTATGTCCACTAGAATGCAAGTTACCTGAGGGCACGAACTTTGTTCACCCGATATCCCTAGCCCTAGAATAGTTCATGGCACATAGTAGGCACTCAATAAATATTTGGAATGGATGCCTACTTTGTGCCAAACACTGTGCTGGGTCAGTATTATCTCTAGTGTTATCTCAGTTAATCATAGCAGACTCTCGTGATGCACCACTCCCAATCCCCTCAGCTTGCTGGATTTCACTGCAGCTGTGGTGCTCACTTCCAAGCATCATTGCTAGCATCCCTCATCCAAGGTGCCACAATATCTCTTTGCTTTGCTGCCTCACACTTTGTTCAGAGCAGCAGAAGGCTGTCTGTCCATGAGCAGATGTAACTCAGGAGTGCTGGGGAGTTCACAATACTCCATCACTTGTGCTTCCCAGGGTCACCTTTGTAAGAAACCACCTGTCCTAAGTCTTTGTCTCAGGCTCTGCTGTCAAGGGAACCCAAACTAAGACATTCAGGTTCTCTTATTTAATGTCACAATAACGTATGAAGTAAGAGGTGTTAGTCCCATTTTATAGGTAAGGAAAGTAAGGCTTAATGAGATTTAAGTGTCTGTCTCAAGTTCACTAAGCTAATAGTAAATGGTAAGTATAGAATTTAAATGCAGCCCGGTCTGAATGCCAAATCATGTGCTCTTTCTGTGAAACCATCCTGGGTCACCTTGCAAAAGCCACCTGATTGCTCTTGGCTTTAGTGTCCTCATTGGTAAAGTGATGAGACGAGATCCAAGGCAGGACCCAATGCAGATCCAATGCACACTCAAGTACCAACAGGGCAGAACTGAGAGGTAAAGGCAGGCAGCTGGGCCTGCAGGGCCTTTGGCCAGTTGGAGGGTCCATGCCCTGCCCAAAACGGGCAACTGCCGGTCTGCCCCAGGCAGCTGTGCCTGTGCAGGAAGGCAGGCCCAGCACTGCTGCACCTCCAGCCTGCACGTAAGAAACCAGAAATCTAGACTCATGTGAAATCTCCCGAGTTAAATGGTGGCGACTCATTCAAATGTGTTTTAAACCCTATGCAGACTAGAAGGGAGCACAAGGGAACTTTTAAGAGTGATGGAAATGTTCTACATATTCATTGGGATGTGTATACTTGTCAAAACTCAAACTATACATTTAAAAGAGGTGCGTTTTGGGGCTGGCCTAGTGGCATAGTGGTTAAGTTTGCGTGCTCCGCAGCTTCGGATCCGGAGCGCAGACATATACACTGCTCATCAAGCTACGCTGTGGCAGTGTCGCATATACAAAGCAGAGGAAGATTGGCACAGATGTTAGCTCAGGACCAATCTTCCTCACCAAAAAAAAAAAAAAAGAGGTGCATTTTGTTAATAAGTTCTATCTCAATGTGGTTAATTTTAAAAGAATAAAAGAAAAAGACCCCATGTGCAGCAATCAAAATACGTTCTTTGAGATTCTAGAATATTCTGTGATTAATCATATATAAAAAGAAGCTGGGCACAAAAATGGAACTTATTCTAGTGCGTCAAGGTTCAGTTAGTAAAAACTGCTTTGAAGTTTGGCAAAGAAAAATAACCTCTCCTAGAATGCATGTTCCACTCTAGCATTTTTCTTTCATAACCTCAGAAGAATTATCCATGTGGATGTATTTTTCTTCTTCATTAGGATACTGGAGAAAACAGTTGGATCACATCTCTGCTCACCTCAGGTCTTATGCTCAGAACAACCCTGAATTCCGGGCCTTGATTGCAGAACCCAGGATGGGAAAGGTGGGTGAACTCTGAATGGCACTGCCACTCCAGGGTGTCCCATGGGATCAGGCTGAAGTTATCCTCCATGGGCTTGGCTCCTTTCCCTTTTTCTGCCCTGCTTTCCACACTTCCTTACTGTCCTGCCCTGCAAGCACTGCCTTAATGATTCACTGGCACATGAGTCATGTCTCTGGGTCTGCTTCTGGGCGCCTGACCTAAGACAGTAAGATTGTGAACATTTCATGCCTTTAGGTGGCACATGCTGTGGAAATTCTGATGGTCAGAGCTAAAAGACCCAAAATAGTTTAGTTGAGCTAAATTGTACACTTAAATCCTATACTGTATAAACAGCAGTAGTAATCATAAGAGTTATAACAGTGCACTCCGTATCTGCATTGTGCTCATCATCTCTAGTCCTCATGACAAACCTACAAGGAAGGTGTATTCCCTTTGTGGCATTTTAAAAAAATGACCACGAATTCTTTGACAGTCTTCTCTTCAAAAGGTGGTGTCTGTGTCCCCTCACCTTGAATCTGGGTGGGCTTGTGACTGTTAGACTGACAGAGTATGGTGGAAGCGATGGTCTGGGACTTCCAGGTATAGTCATGTAAGGCCATGCAGCTTCCTCTTGCTTGGTACACTCACCTCCAGCACTTCTTTCTGAAGCCCAGCCACCCTGCTGGGAGAAGCCCAGGCCACATGGTGTGGTGACATGTAGCTGCAGCCTCTGCAGCCCCAGCTGAACCCAGTCCTCGAGTCACCCTGGCTCAGGAGCCAGGCTGATGATTGACAAGACTCTAAGTCACTAGCTCCCAAACGTGGCGCCATCTCTACCCATTTGAGTTGTCCCAGCTGAGGCCTCAGACATGTGGAACAGAGACAAGCTATCCTTGTAGTACCCCGTCTGAATCCATGAACATAATAAAATGGTGGTTGCTTAATGTCACTAAGTTTGGGGTAGTTTTTTACACTGCAGTAGATAATCAGAATAAACCTTATTTGACACCCATAAAACTGGCTCAGAGAGGTTTGGTGACCCGCCCAGGACTACAGTGCTGCGTCTGGAGGGATTCAGGATCTAAAGCAGGTTTGTCAGACCCTGAGCCCAATGCCCTTTCTCTGGCACTACACTGCCATTATAAAGAGGCACCTCTGTGAGAAGACCTTTTCTTCTGTTTGTCATGAGACTAGAAGGAGCCTTTAAAAATCAGCCTCTCTGCTCCTCTGCCACCAAATAGGCCAATATTTAAACTATGTCATTGTCAAGTCTTGCTCAGTTTCCTTTGATAATCTATTTTGGCAGTTTATTAATTCTAATAATTAATTAAATTAATAGTTCATTTGGTAATTAATAATTAAATTAATAGCTCTAATTTGGTAGTTTATTAATCCAGTGGTCTGCAAACTATGCCTGTGGGACAAAACCAGCCTGCCACCCAGTTTCATAAATCAAGTGTTATTGGATCATAGCTACACTCATTTATTAACTTATTGTCTGTAGCTGCTTTTATGCTATAATGGTGATGATCATATAGCCCACAAAACCTAAAATATTTGCTATCTGATCCTTAAAGCATTTGCTGAACCCTGGTTTATCTAAATTCCCTCTGCTACTTACAGAGAAAGTTGATCAACTGTGATACTTGGCCCTTGATTGCCAAGGCCTGGCCCCCCAGGACACCTGTTCCCAGGTGATGACATCCAGCCATGTAGCTTGATTAGTCTTAAAGCGTGTCTCTTGTAGAGAGTATAAATTTGGGTCTTGCTTTCTTATTCAGTCTGGCAGTCTCTGCTCTTTGATTGGAGTATTAATTTAGTTCATTTATAATTAATGGAATTATAGATACGGCTAGATTTGTGTCTGCCATTTTGCTATTTGTGTTCTATTTCATCTAGTTTTTGTTCCTCTATTTCTCTTTTTATGCATTCTTTTGTGTTAATTAAATATTTGATTAAATTTACAGTTTAACATCTCAGAATTTCTTGGCTGTTGCTCAGGGCAATGAGTCCCACACCCGAGGTTGTGAATTCTCTCTAATACTCTTTTAAAAGCTTGTCTCTGCTACTGTCCATGAAGATGGCTATGAAGTTAGCATCAGGCTGAATTATATTCAAGTATCAAACAAAGTGAGTAAAACCTTCAGAAGTTATTCATTTGAGAATTGACCCAACTAGTAAATTGTAGCTTATAATTTACTGAAATGCTTCTATGTAATCTATAGAAAGGAACAGTTTCAAATATTATGAAACTTGACTGTAGGCCAGTAATTTCTTAGAATTAGATAAATAACTGAGCTAAACCTCAGAGAAACCAGCTATCAGGTACATAAAGATGTAGTAAGACGGGAATTATGACCCACCCTATTTGTCTGGCAGTTCTCAGGCTTATTTGTACTCACTGAAGTCTGAGTATAGGTGAAAGACAGACAAAAATGTTTGCTGATGTGTACTTTGACCTATTTGCCTATAAAAAATAAGCCAGACTTTGTGGGCCATGTCTCCCTTGACCTGCCCTCTTATCTAGTGACTAGAACATTGCCACAGAGCCTGTAAGTGTGTGACACATGTTAATTGATTGATATTGACAGCTTTAGTTTCATTGGACAAGAAGTCAGCATATACAACAGAATAATTAACGGATTGAGAAGGTGGGTAAAGAAGGCAAGGGGAAGGAGGGGAACTAGCATTTATTAGGCCCTGGCCATGTACCCAGCAGGGTGCTAATAGTTTCTTTAAAGTTAGTATAGATACATGGACCCTGCCTAACTGAAAGAGAGGCTGGGGGTATCCAATGGGCGAATGCATATGAAAGTGCTTTGAAATCAAGTAAAGCACTACAGGCCATGTTTTCAGTTGTGTGGCTAGAGCAGAGCTTGTGTCAGGGAGGTACTCCGGGAGACAGGGAGTGAGGGATGCAAGACAAGGCAGGGGAAGGGGCTGAGTGAGCAGGTGACACAGGTAAAGTCTAGCTGTAACCTGATCCACGAGGAGCTCTGGAGTGTGAATCACTCCACAAAGCTGCCCTCAGTTGAGGCAAGGAGGGGAGGGGCATAACCTCTAGAGCACCACAGCAGTCATCTGCTGAGGGCGTTGGCTGGAGAAGGGGGTCAGCTGCGTGCTGTTGGCGCCAACCCAGCAGCTGGGATGAGTGTGCTGACTGATTAAGGGGAACGAGGGGGTGTGGGGGGACACCAAGAGCATCTACAACATGCTGTCTGTCAAGTAGAAGTAGAATTATTATCCCCAAGTTTAATATGTGTTTTTCTTTAGCCTGTGTGTTCTAGTGTTCTGGAAGTAGCAGGTTGTTCCCTTTGGCAGGAGTAGGCAGCCGTGTGAGGGTGGGGCAGGAGGCCATGCTGTGATCTGTCCAAGTGGATACAGGGTTCCAGGTCTGGCCTGTGTATCATCTGTCCTCATTTTATAAGACATCCGTTGCACCTCTTTTTACTTTCACAACATCCCTTTGAGGTAGGTCATAATATTTCCACTTTACAGGTAAGGAAATTGAGGCTCAGAGAAGTTAAGCAACTTGCTTCTTCCAAGGTCCCTAAGCTAGTAAGTAACAGAACCAGGATTCAAACTCTGCCGCCTGAGCCTCCCCATCATGCCGCCCTAATTCCAAGACATGGAAGGGTTTTAAGCAGGGGAAGGACACAGTTACTTATAAATTGTATAAAGGTAACTGGGGCAGCCACATGGAAGATGGGCCGGAATGAACCTGTTGGGAGGTTGTTGTAATGATCCGCTGTGAGAGGCAGGGGCCATGGCATAGTGATGGAGAGGAGGGGCCAGGCTGAGGAGCCATGTAAGAGGCAGATGGACAAAACATCATGGTGAGGTGAGGCAGGTGTCAGGAAGGATGTCCAGGTTTCAGGCTTGACTGTCTGTTTAGATAGAGCTGTCATTAACAAAAAGAGGAGCAGTTAGCAGGGAGATCATTCTTTCTGTTGGGACATAGCAGCCTCAGCATTCATGGTGCTTGAATTTTTTCACTGGCCAGAACCTTTCCCTCAACAAGGCGGTGAATTTCAGCGACCACTTTCTGAGCAGTGGTAATGGGCTGTTCGGCAGCAGGTCCAGCTCGGGTGAGTTGTACCCTTCCAGTGATTTTAAAACAACTGACCAGGAATACACTGACTTGGCAAGGATGGTAGAGAATTGCTTAGAATTTGCCATCCCGACCCACATCTTACGTTTATGGGGCAGTCATTTCATTCCTCTGGCTTCCCTGAAGTCAGGGGTGAGAACTTGGGGAGATAAATTTGGGGGTTGCTCATTTGGGCCTAAAACCTGTAGTCCCTTCTCTTGCCCTCCTTCCCACCCATCCTCTGGTTCCTGGACTGAGAGGAGTGGCTCCAGGAGTCCTTCCTGCCGGGTTTAATCAAATAGAAATTTCCATAAAAGCTGTTGTATCCTCTGACCTCTTGAGGGACATGCCGTAGAGTAGCTCTTTACATGTGGAGGGTGGCAGTGGGCTTCATTTTGATCTTCTACTCTTCCAGTGAGTGACTACAGCCATAGCACCTCAGACACCACTGAAAACATCAAGAGGACAAAGAATTTCAAGACCAAGAAATTTCAAGAAAAGAAGGGGCAGCTTATAGTATGTGTACCCCTTGGTCCTTAGCTGTCTCCTTCAGCCTGTCTATTTAATGTTTTGGGATTTTTTAAAATGGAAGAATACTTTTCATTTTCTGTTCCTTTTTTATAACAGTGTGTTTTTATTTTATGGAGGCAGAATCCTTTAAAATATGTCAAGATTATTAATTAGAATTATTTTAAAGTTCTCATCGGTTTCCTTAATCACCTCTGTTTCCTCTAGGGTCAGTTCTGCCTGTCCATCTTTCTCTCTCTTATTTTTGGTTTGTCTCAAATACGTGCTGATCCTTGATTGTCAGGTCATGTTGACGAATAAAGGGCTAGTTTGGTTAGCACAGGAGCCTGGCATGAGTGCCTAGCATGGTTATGTATGTGGGCCTGAAGTCTCTGTGTGGGCGGATGGGCATGCTGTGGGGCAGATTTCCCTGGAGGGCGTGTGGGCGGGGAGCAGGAGAAACCCTTGGGATCCCCTAAGTTGCCAGTATACGAAGGCCTTTCCTCTGGTTTGAGGATGGTGCTGTGAAGTACCCTAGTGTGTTTCATTCCTGGATGGAACTGTCTTTCCTTCCTTGTCCTGCCAAACCCTGTCCTGTGTCTGTCATAGAGGTCTGGGCTCTGCCCTTCTCCCTTCTTGGGCTCCAGTGCTCTCAATAGAAGCCTTTGTTAGGCAAATTCTGAACTCTCTGGAAAATAGTTACCAGGGTTTAAGCAGAGAGCAGAAGCCCCCTGCCCTTCTTACATGGGAGAGGGAGGGGACAGCAGCCATCTCAGCTATTCACAGGGAGGCCCTTTCATAATACGCTCATGGATTCAGCCTGCACCCACTGTCTCCCCCCCTTGGTGATTAACTTGGAGCTTCTGCAGGGCTCGCTGGAGAGAACACACTCAGGCTTCGGCTGGTTTCTGTTTGCTTTGATTTCCCTGTCAGTCAGATTCCATCTTCTTTCAATCTTTAGGATTCCTTACTATTTCTGATCCACTGATGATACCCTTTCAGAGTTTCCTACAGTTGTTAGTTTTGCTTTTCAAAAACATGTACCATGAATAATTTCAACAAGAGCTTTAGAGAAAGAGACAGTGGGTGCCCTTGCTCAGTCCACCACCTTGCCTTTTAGTTGGTCCTCCTTGGCTGCAGTAGGGAGAACAGGTGTGCTTAGCAACACGCCCAAAGCCTGGGTCTGCAGCCCGAGCTGGAGATGGGCGCAGTGCCGGTTCTTCCCTCCGCCTCCCGTGAAGCCAGGCCCTCAGGGCTTCCTTGGGTGCACATGCTGGCGCGCAGCTTGCATCGTGATGTCTCCGGAGGCGGGGACTCGACTCTTCATCTTGTCTTTTCCTGCCATATGCCTTGCATGTCATAAACACCCATAAATTTGGGAAGAAGACCTTAGAGTTGTTTTAACTTTTATTGCTTATGATTCCTTGCACTCTCTACCTTCTTCCAATTTGAAATATTGTTAGTAAGTATAAGAGAAGTATAGAGTTCCATAAACTTAACAATTTTACCATTTGGAGGATTCTACCCACTTATTCTGTGTGTGACTTGAATCCCCCATTGCTGTGTGCCTTTATTTTCTCATTTGCACTTAGGGGATAAGTGTCAGAAACTATAACATCTGTCCACTCATTCAGTGATTATTTTTGAGCATGCTTATACCACGTGCAGTTTTAGGTGTGAAAATAAACAAAAGACATAATGGTCTCAGACCTGATGAAGTTGACATTCTAGTGCGTTCTGGTACATTTTTCCATAAGGAATGGAATTCAGTATAAACAAGCGCCTCCCAAGATGGGGGTTTTACTGATTAGAGCACCTTGTTCCAGGCTACTCACCCTAGGGGGCAGAGGGGCCTTAGCCTGAACCTTGCATTTCTTCTGAAAGGCTCAGAGGCCTTGATCAGTGTCCTCACCCTCATGGCTTCCCAGGGAGCCAGGGATGAGGTAGGTATTATTTCCACTTCACAAATAGGGAAATGCTGGTCCCAGGACTACCCCACAGTCACCGCGGGACCCAGTGGAGAAACATACTAAAAGTAATGTCTCCTGCTTTCTAGACTGCTTCCTTCAGTCTTCCAGCAACCAGCATTGGAAATCGTTTATATATTAAGAAAGATTATATATGAAGATGAATTTTATCATGTTTTTAAAATATAAAAAGGATAATAAATTCTTCAGATTTCTGATGATAGATGAGAGCTTTTTTCCCCTAAACAAGAGGTCGACTTTATTGGTTCACTCACTCTTCAGGTGAGCACTTTTTCTGAACTGTCCTACTTCGGCTGACTTTGAACACTTTTTCAAGTGTGCAAAGTAAATTTTAGGATTCACCTGGTTGCTTTTCCTAGAAATATTCGTAGTAAAACTTGTGTAGGATTTTTGGGTTTCTGTGAGGTTTCTCATTGCATCCTTGTCCTTAATCATATGAAACAATGTCAGTGTGATGTCCTTTCCCAAGGCAAGGTTTCAGAGACCAGCCAGATTTACATTAGATGTGTTTATTTGTGCTGCTGGCTATTGAAGACCACACACACACACACTCACACATACACGCACTCACACATACACACACACACACACACACACACATGCTCATGCTCACACTCGCCTGTCCCTGGGGCTCAGAACTTAACCTTGGAGAGGAAGCATTGGACTTGAGGGTTGAGCCTGGGCTAGTGGGACTTGACAGTAAAAATATTTTGCAGTGGTGGAAATGACCACATTCTGTAATCCTGCAGCCTGAAAACAGACTTCTGCTGAAGGAAGTGGGACCGACAGGGGAAGGAAGAGTCTCTGTGATTGAACAGCTGCTTGATGAAGTAAGTGGAACCAAAAGAACCAACCTTTCTAGGATTTTCAGCCTGGCGGTTCACCTCTCTCTCTTGCACATGGAAGTTTTATTCAATATTGTGATAATCACAGTGCCACCTCGTTAAAAACTGAGAATGGATTAAATGGCTAATCAAAAGCTTTACGTGAATTGTTACCTGTTGCTAGTTTCCATAGCAAAGAAAATAGGCGGAAAAGTGCGCATGAGCCTAAATAACACGCATGCAGGTGGACCGAATCCCTGGTCTGTGACCCCATGTGACCTTCATGTTTCCTAAAGAATTGGGGTTGTCTGGGTGCCCGCCCCTCCTGATGTGGGAAACAGAAGTTTTATCGCCCAAGTGACTTGGCAACTCTGTCCCTTATAGGTGGGGTCTTGGGGTTCCGGCTTCTCTTCTCTTTTGCTTCAAAATTCCATCAAGGATGTTTGTTACACGTAATAGGATGGCAGTTGGATGCTGTTGAGTGCAGGGTGTTGTGGCCACTTTGTCCTTGTCCATATGCTGCAGGGAGCAGATGCCAACTGCAGCGATGATGAAGACCGACCTGTTATAACCGTGGCTGTTGTGAACAAGCACCATGAAGCGATTCCAGTTCTCGTGCAGAGAGGAGCAGATGTTGACCAGCAGTGGGGCCCGTAAGTGAAACGCAATCAAAGAAGAGTTCTGGCACCATGTTGCAGCCAGCTAATACCTCCTGGGGCTCTGCTGCAGCAGAATCAATCTACATGCATGCCCTGTTCAATCCGAACCACTTAAGAATCTTTTTAACCCATTTTGGCCTTAATAAGAGACTTAAGTGATTCTGTTTTCCAAATCTGGGTAAAACAAAATTTTAAAAATAGACTATTGGATTGCGTAATTTTTAGTAGCTTTTGTAAATACTTATACCTTTTATTAACTCACAAATTTATGCTGTTGTGGGGCCATCAAATCCTTAGCCCTTGAGGAGTTAAGCAGTGTTTTCATCATGATCCGAACAGTTAACATTGATAAGAGAAGAGAGGGCACAGTGTGTTCCCTATGGAAATATACTCATGAAGTTAATGCAGGGCCGGCCCTGTGGCTTGGTGGTTAAGTGCGTGCGCTGCGATGCTGGTGGCCCGGGTTCGGATCCCGGGCGCGCACCGAGGCACCACTTCCCCGTTCATCCTGAGGCCGAGTCCCGCATACAGCAACTAGAAGGATGTGCAGCTACAACATACAACTATCCACTGGGGCTTTGGGGGAAAAAAAAAAAAAAAAAAAAAAAAAAAAAAAAAAAAAAAAAAAAAAAAAAGAAGTTAATGCAGGAAGAAAACCTTATACGGTTGTCTCTGGATGCCAGTACCACTGGGGAGGAGACTGGTACATCTGAGTTCACCACAAAATCTCCTGGTGCCTTGGTTTCCCCAGCTGTGAAACAGAATGCAGAGATACCAAGTCACGTTGGGTGGTGGTGTTACTTTCCTAGTCTTGGTGCTGTCCAGACTCGTGACCTCTCCCAGCCTTGTGATTCTATCGTTCCCTTGCAAATTACTTTGGAAACCTGGGGTGGAAAGTTCCTTGAGTATGGGTCCTTCCTGTAAACTGCGTCTACCCTGCTGATCACGTTGTTGAATTAGAAGTCTTCTAGGGATATTGCAGGTCTAACGCTACTGCCTCTTGAATTGTTACTAAGACAGGGTCGAGGCCCAGCTTAGTGAATCGTGCCGCTACGTATTCAGGCCAGCACAAGCGCCGAAAGTTAAATTGCTTTGCTTCTAATTTTCTCTGTTTCAAAATTTCCTCTAGTGTTTTTATTCAAAATATATCCCTGTTAATTTTTCTATGTGCGTTTTTATAAGTTTCTGCCCAATAGAACAGCTATATCAGTAGACATGACCTCTTTTTTAGTTTTATTTTGTAGCAGAATGTTTGGCATGTTGGTGTACATATTTGATGGCTGGAATGTACTTTCTCAAATTTTCTTAGGGTTTATGTTCATCATCCTTTGTCAACTTCTTCATTTATCCCACACTTGTATTATCACTATTAATAAAAATAATGCTACCTTGTTTGTGTTAAGGTATACTTTAGATTTTTATAATTCAGACAAGCTTTCTTATAGCATTTAAGGATAATGTTTGTGGTTGATACAAAAATCTCTCGAGCACACTTTGAATTAATGCTTAAGTATGGTAAGTCCTGGCTTTATGAAAAGTCCAGCTAAGAGGATGAAACTACCCTGGACATGGAACAAATTACCAGTTTTTCTTTGGTGTTCCTCAGTTTCCATGTTTGCCTCATCACCATTCTACAAATTGACATTTATCCACACATGATCTCATTGCATTTTTACTAAGTCTAACACTGTAGTTATACCGACCATCTGAGTGGTATATAATAGTCCTTCGTCACTCCCGCTGCATTATCGTGATTACTCTTAGCAGAGTTCGGCTCACGTGGTGGGGAGGGGAGGAGAGTTAGACTGGAGGCCCTCCCCCTAAACAGAGCACAGAGATCTTTTCTTCCTTTTCAGTTTATGCCAATAGAAGAAAGCAGATTTTTCCACTGAAAGCCAAATTCTGCTAAGTCTGGTTTATATTTGTTAGTTTGAAGTATTTAGGCCTGGGTCAGCCTGGCCTCTGCCCCACAGCTGGACCCCTGTAGATCCAGGAACATGATGCAAGTTTCCAGCATCCTGCTGTTTTTAGGCATAAGCCCTCCAGAGATCCGGCTTTTCTGTAAAAGAGGCTCAGTGACTTGTCCCTTAGCAAGCCGGGACTAAAACGCTCTTCCCCACCCTGAGCTTGTTTGGCTAGTGGGGAGACGCAGCCCAGGTGGTCTCTACACAGGATAACTTTCATTAAGTAGTGGGGAGCCCCTCCCTTGTGTTTCTGGCTCACATGTTTGTATCGTTCCTACCAGAATAAACTCATATTCTGGAACAGAAAGGGCAGGGCTAAGGCGAAGTACACCTCCTCCACCAAAGCTGATACTGCTTAGCAGCAGACTTCAGAAACAGATTCACGGTCTCACCAGGAGAGGGACGTGGAGAAGCGCCGTTTGCTTCTGGACGATAGCTGTCCTTCACTGGAATTTTTGAACATTCCATCTGTTAGCTCTGCCCCAGGAACCAGGTGAGGAAATTGCAGCCATCAGTCTACTTCTTAGAGGTTCAACTGTGGAGGTTTGTTCTATTCGGTAATTCAAGATTTACAAAGAGAGAGTGTACCTCAATCCACCATGATATTTAGATTTGAATAAACAGTTTGAGTTGTTTATGCATTACTAGTAAAAAGTTTCTTTAAAATACGGATTCATGGAACACCACAGAGTACCTGCTGTACAAAACATGTTCTAGAAGACCTGATGAGACAATACCAAGCTACTCTTAGGAACACACTCACAGGATACCACCTCTACTCTGAAGCATGGGGTTCTAATAAGAAGGCGTATTCCATCTAGTACCCTGCCATATTGGAGTTAAGTTGTTTGAGGAGCAGTATACAAAATTAGAGTTGGCAGGGTCACAATTCGTTATTTTCCAAAACTGAACTGTGGATTTCCTGTGGTTACCCAGGAAATAGCCAGCACAGAAAATCTAGCTGTCAGCAACCCTTCCCCACCGCCCCCGGCCCCTATTCAGTAACTAGAATGCACAGTCTGCTCTCAGTTTGGGGAGAGTTATAAAGGAAGAAGATCGTACATCTACTTAGGAGATGCAACAACCCCGTGAATATATCTAAGTTCAAATGGTAAATACCTTATAAAGACCCAAGTAACTTGAGGCGTGAAGTGACACACAGTAAGCCCTATGCCGTTAGGGAAGAAGGAAAGATGAAAGATAAGGAGGAGACTGGTGTTATTGGTATGACTGAGACATTCTTTGTCAGTGCTCCCATAGCAGGCTGTGTGACCCTCTATCCTACATTTACAGCTGGGTCCTCTGAGCTTCCTGAGAGAGGAACAAGCACTGTGTCACATGTGACATGGTGGCCCTGGCACTAATGAGGGCACCAGGCTGACACTCAAATATATGCTGAATAGATGAACAAATAATCAGAGTGACTGAGAGCCAAGCAGAGGTAATCTGAAAGACCTCATGAGAAATGTAAACTTTGAAGGTTAACACTGGGGATTGTGCTAAAGGAGAGGGGGAAAATAGACTTTTCTGTGGGTGGCAGAGGATGGTCTGGAGACAGGAGAGCACAAAATGTGGAGAAAATGAACATCATCTTCTTGTAGGTCTTTTCATCTGTAAAACAGGGATAATAATACTTATGTCATAGAGTTTGTTGGAGGATGAAATAAGATCATGTATTTGTAGTGCCTTTGAAGAGCCTAATAATTGGATATTAATAAATGGTAGCATTTACTGTGATTATGAAAAAGATGGATTACCAGGCTTTGAATGGAAAGTATTGACTGCACGATGATTGCCATAGGATATGGGGACGAGCATGAGTTGGGCCTGGAAGAATAGCCTTGGTGGGGCCTTAAGCAACAGAAGCCCAGGGTGAAAGGTGTTAGAACTGGTTAATAGAATTTAAATTAATTTAAGTTCTACATTCTACTACTGTTAATACATGTCACCAAGTCTTCCTAAGCCTGAGTTTTCATATTAGAGAAAGGGCATGATGTATTCTTTTAATGCCCCAAACTCTAAGAAGATGAACTTGGTAAGTGCTGCTCATACTCTAATGTGCATATGAGTCACCCAAGGATCTTGTTAAAATTCAGTAGATCTGGGGGCAGGGGGCTGAGATTCTGCATTTCTAATATGCTCTCAGGAGAGGACAATGGTCCAGGTACCACAGTTTGAGGAGCAAGGATCTAGAGACTGTTGTTAATATACAAGAGACAACCCAACATGGCCTTTGGTAAGGAGATGACCTCACAATGCTGTTGGACACAGGGGATTTTTCCCCTGTACCCGACAGGTCACTTATGTTGATCTGATAAAACTAATAATAATGATATCACCACCAACAACAACAGCAGTATGAAGGCTGATCCACAAATTTAGTCACTTGAAGGAACTATCTGTATAGAACCAATGGGCAAATCTTTGGAAATTCTGTCATAAGACACATGGCTTTGACATTTTCGCCTATAATAAGGTGCCTCTGGAGAAGTATGAGGACAAACTAGATGATCACACCATTCAGATTTGCTTCACACTAGGAGCCTTGGCCAAATAAGTTATTTAAGTAGCTGAAATTATGTGAATGATAAGATCTAAAATTAGATAAGATCTAAAACCGTTAGGGTGGTTTGGTGCTTAGAGTGCTGTTGCAGCGAAAATCAGTGCAAGTATAAGTTTCTCATTTACTTGGGAAAATGGAAAGCCATCTCTTTAACTGGACAGTTCAGATTCTGGTGCCCAAATCAGGCATAGGATTACCCTTCCACAATTGGATGGAGAGGTTTATGGTGCTTTTTACCTGAAATTCTTGCAACTCATATGGGTTTCAATCTCGGAGGCAATACCTCTTCCCTTAATTTGTTTGTCTCTTCATTCTTTTCATTGATGTATTCATTTTACTAGTGGTTATTGAGCACTTGCCATGTGCCAGTCACCATTCTAGGTGATGGAGATACAACAGTGGTGGAGATAAAGTCCGTGCCCTCATGGAGCTTACAGTTTAGTGGAGGACACAGACAATAAACAAGTAAGCAAATGAATAAGTAATTTTAGAGAATGATACATGCTACAAAGAAAATAAAGCCAGGTAGGAAAAGAGAGCGTGTGGTCAGGAAAGGCTCCACCCCTACCCCCCAGGACCAGAGACACAGAATTAGTCTGGAACAGACTTGCTTTAGGTGCAGAGCAGTGCTGGTGAGGTTTGTTCACCAACTTCATTCATTTTTGATGCATTCAAAGTGAGATTGCTTTATTTATTATTAGTCTGGCAGAAAGATTTTTTAGATTGTATATGTTTATTGAAAACAATTCTTACACACCAAATAACTTTTTAATTTTATCAAAGTAAGATGTGCACATGATTAAAAAGTCAAATCCTATGGAAGGGCTTAGCAGTCCTCCTCTACCCTCACTTCTTCATACCCAGTCCTTGTCCTCGGGGACAACTACATTTAAATATTTCAAAGTTCTCCTGGGAGTAAACTATGTCTATGTCACTAAATAATACATTTAAACTGATAATTCTTGATTTAGCTGCTTAGACGTTTTCTATTAATTCTTGCCATGATAGATGATGATTTGGCTTGATGACCCCACCTGATCATTTCTGTCCACACCTTCATGTTTTGATCATTCTATTACTATTTTTGGTTCCTTTACTGATTACTGTCATAAATATAAATAAAATGCCTAAACTGCTATATTTTAACCATCACTTTTCAATGGTATCTCTTGACTGCCTTGTATATAAGTGCATATAACTGTATATTAGTTCTCCCTACCTTCACCTCTACCTCTCCTTCCCCTTCCACCTCACAACTTCTATTAGTATATGCTTACTTTTTAGAAAGCTGATCACAGTTATATTTACTTGGGTTAACATAATTAAGACTTCCATTCTTTGCCCACAAATTGATTCCAGTAGTTGAAAAGCACAAAGAGCAATTGCGTTATGATAGTGACATAAATATTGCTCATTGCAGAACCAAGTGGTATGCTGTGAATTACATTTTCCTGTTTGTGGGTTCAAGATAATGACCCCTAGGCCACTCAAAGTAGAATTTTCTTATCAGAAATGTCAGATGGATTCTCCTTACACATCATAAATTATTCAAAATCATGTCACATTTCATTTTCTAGTATAAACCATAAATAACTTGTATAATTTTTGTGTCTTTCATTTTCCTGGGACTTCTGATTGCCTTTGTTTTTTCTGGTTTGAAAAAGAACATGCCTTCACCACATCCATAATACCATCTGGTTTCTTACTTTTTCATTGCCATTCTCCTTAGAGACATTCTTCTTGAAGTACAGGTTTCCCCCACTATCCACAAGTAGAGCATTCCTGTGAAATCCGTTATAAGCTGAAATAGCATAAAACGAAGAAGCAATTACTATTAATTTATATGGGAAAGTTTTTTGAGTGTTCTCAGACCTAAAAAATAACCTGCCCAAATAAATCAAGATAAAGCACAGTTGCTCATAGACACTGTTGAAAACTATGGTGTTTTGATGCTGAGATGCTGAGTGTAGTTCCTGGGCAAGGAGCTCGGTGGCGCCATGCTTGCTGCTCCAGATGCCCGCTGGCTCTGTAATAGTTGGCTGCAAAACAATCACTGAATGCTATAATGTTCATTTGTGACCTATTGTTTGTTCTTTCTGGAAGCATTTATCCTTGAGGTTCTGAAATTTCACAAGGCTATTTTTTGATGTGCTGTTTTTCATTCACCTGCTTGGCCCTGTCAGTTTGAAAAGTCATGTCTTTCTTCAGCTCAGGGAACATTTCTTCTATTATCTCTTTGGTATTTTCTCCCCTCCATTTTTTCTGTTCTCTCCCAGAATTTCTATTAGTTGGATGGTGGACCTCTTGAATTGATCCCCTGTATCTTCCTTTTTTCTTTTTTTCCATATTTTTCATCTCCCTTTTTCTCGCTAAGAGATTTTCTTAACCCTCCTAATACATAATTTTTATTTCAACAATAATATTTTTACTTTCTAAGAACTACTTTTTGTTCTGATTTTTTCTTCTTCATAGCCTCATGTTTTTGTCTAATATTATCTTCAGTCATTCTGAGGATACCAATGAGGTTTTCGTCTTGCTTTAAATTTCTTATGTTTGTATGTCTTGGTTTTTCTCTTTGATGCTGCAGGTTTTTCTCAGATGTCTGTGATCTTTTGTTGTCCATTCATATTTGCGAATGGGGACGGGGTGGGTGAGTGGGAATTCTGTTTATATGAGTGGAGCTTGTCAACTGGGGAGTTCTGTGGGTAGGTGAAGTTGCTCTCAGGCTGGGACAAGTGGAAGTCTTCCCTCTGGGCGTGGCAGTTGCTGGCCTGATTTTCACCAGAGGCTCCATTTATCTTCTTCAGAGAAGAAGCCACCTTATTTTTTCTCCATTGGGATAAATTTCTGGCTGCAGGTACATCTGCAGGTGCAGGGGGTGGGTTGGCGGTGTCAAGGGAAAGAGCAGGGGCTGGGAGAATGCAGACCTTCAATTTCTCATACCCTTTCTACTTCAATCATGACTCCCACATTCCATCACTCCTGCCGCCTCTGATCAGGAGCCTTTCATGAGTTCTCAGTGCAGGTGCCACCACATCCTCCATTTCAGCCATCCACTGCTCCCTCACTGGGCCAAAGCTGACCAGGCAAGGTGCAGAGACAGTCTCGCATGCAGCAAAATATACTCTGTCTGACCTCTCGGGCTTGCCCTCCAGGTTCTAAGACTGGTGTTTGCTTTCATATCATACAAGCCAAATTCACTAAAGCCAAGGTCATTTTCCCTGCACAAGAATAGGAGCCTCAGCCCTGAAAGGCTATTATCATATAGACAGTGCCCAAGAGGTTCAAGCCAAGGGTGAGACTATGTCCAATATGTTCCATATGTTCTGGCAGGAAATTTACTAAAATAACATTTATTAGCATTTATTAAATCAGCTACAAACCAGATCCTTGTGTGGTTTCTCACTTTAAAAAATGAATGTGTTTATAGACTTTTCAGTTTCTATCTAATATCAAAGCTTACCTGCCATCACAGTATTCTTCCAAGGGAAGAGGCAGAGAGAGGAGACTTAAGAGATTGTCCCAGGTTAGTTAAATAGGTCAGTGGGTGAAACCAAGGCCCCTTTGGTCATGTGCCTCCTCTCCAATTTCTGGATGATGCTAGTTAAGGATTTAGTCAGGATGATTTTTTTTTTCCCCAAACAGGCTCCGAAATACAGCTCTTCATGAAGCAACTCTGCTTGGCCTGGCAGGGAGGGAGTGCGTCGCTGCTTTACTGCGGTACGGTCCCTGGCCTCTGGGGGAGACTTCTGAGGGCCGCAGTGATCCCCCTGCTGACCTGTGATGATTTCAGAGGGCTGTGGTTCCTGAATAGTTAAGCTTGTGAATGGAGGCCACCATCACACCGTCGCTCCCAGGCACAAAAGGCTTCTAAAAGCACAAGGATGATGTTGTCCCGTTTAAAGCCACTTGATTGTAGGACTTTGATGCAATGGGAACCAATAGCTGGGACTGACATTGAACATTTGAAATTGTAGATCCACCCTTGAGAGCTGGGGTCATGGTGGCCTCTCGGGGACAGGTTTGGGAAGGTGGGGCCAGGAGGGATGAGCCTGGCCCTCAGGTTCAAGTGCCTGACTCCTTCTATTCTCCCCTATTTCCTTTGCAGATGCAACGCAAGCATCCGAAAGAAGAACGCAAGAGGCCAGACAGCGCACGACCTGGCTCTGGAAATCGGGGACGACCTGATCACCTCGCTCTTTGCTGCTAAGCTCAGCCTAGATGACTGTTAGACCCCAGGGTCTCTGCGGGACTTCACTGGAAGAAACCATCCGGCTCTGGCAGTTCTTTGTTTCTTTCTGAAATGTGTGTTTGAGGTTTGGGAATTGAAGTTGAGAGAAACTCATAGATTTTTTTTTTTAGTTATATGGCAGTGTAAGCCACCAACACCACATGGGCATTTCCCAATATGCCCTGGATGGTGATGAACTTAATGTGTGGTTTTTAATGGTTTATTGCTGCTTATTTTAGAATTTTCTTTTAAATTTATTTTTCAATAAATAATAATTGCACATGGTTCTAAGTTAAAAAGTATAAAGTATTATGTAGTAAAAAAAAGCTTCCTCCCATCCCTGTCCCACAGCCACCCACTTCCCCTCCTCAAAGGCAGCCAATGATACCAGTGTCATCTATGTCTTTCTAGAAATAGTATAGGATTATATAAGCACGTGTATTTAATACATGCATACATACATATAGAGTATACATAAAATATAAACAGAGATAACACATATATTCTTTCCCCACTTTTAAGACGAATAATAGCAAACCACACACTGTTCTGTATCTTGTTCTTTTGCTTAATATATCTTGTAGGTGGTTCCAAATTAGCACATAAAGATTGAGTTTATTTAAAATGTTTTTTTCTTATGTTGATCTCATCAATATTCCTATTATGGTTTGTTCTTTGGTTGACAAGCTTTGAATAAACCATTTGCAGGAATGTGTAATTTTGTCTTATTTCCTTTTTCAGATTGTTATATCAATCTTTGAGTGGTAACTCTGCAGTCATGAGGTCCCTAAACTATTTCTGTTAGCACGTGTAAATAGAATATTCATTAATTTAGGATAACTAATTCAGCACAATAAACAGTAGACTTTGTTGAGGTGGTTGCTGTCATCACTACTTTATTTTCCCTGGGTGGGTGACTGTCTGTGGGGAGGACAGGCGCAGAGTCGTCGGAGTCCAAGCCCCGGAGTGGGGTCGGGTGGTGCCGGCACTGGCTTCCCCCGGCCAGACCCTTGGCAGTCTGTGTTGGGGGCCCACCACAAGGGTAGCCAGTGTCCAGAGAGACCCGCAGAGTGTGACCGTCTGGTTTGGTGTCTGGGGTGGTTTGCACTGTGTCTACTTAGCTTAGCCAGGATGACCTTTCCCAGAATTCTCTTCCTTTATGGTTCAGTTCACAGTTGGCTGCACGAGAAACTGCACAAGATAGCAGATCCAGAAGGTGGAAGTGAAGCACCGGCCATCATGCTCAGAGGGAGGGTTAGGGCGCCAGACGCTGCTGTGGCTCACACCCACAGGCTCTGGAACTGACAGTCAGGGACGAGGGTGTGGAGTTCAAGACTATTTTCCCCAGACCTCAGGGAGCAGGGAGGGCCCCATGGACCTATGGGTTCTAGAAACAGTCCCCTCGGGGCTCTTGGGGTAGCTTTCACACTCTGAGTGCAGGAACCACATCTTCACTGCTCCTGGGTTTTCCATACTTCCTAGTGGGAGGTCCTGCCCTCTGTGCCCAGAGGCCCTCCTAGTGCCTGCTCATCAGACACAGGAATTTGCAAAGCACACACTGGGCATCTCCCGTGAGGGTTCTTTCCTTTCATTGAAGCCCATGGCCAGCACAAATCACCCCTGAATTTCACTTCTTCAGAATCAAACCTTGGTTAAAAAGTTAAAGGTAGTTTAATATTTAAGATGCAAGAACTCAGATTCAAATCCAGGAATATTCTGATGAAATCCTATAGGGTTACATAAAACATCATATAAATGAACTACATGTTTTCAGGAAAATTAAAAACCCGTTTCAAGGCAAGGGCTTTCTGATTTCAAAAATCATGTTATTTCTTGTCCTTTATGAAGCTTTATTTTTCTTTTCCTAATGACACTGTGTCAGGGCTTGATGAGGGACTAGAATCACTGTAAGTGATACTGAGTAAGGGGTTTATGAAAGGAATCGGATCGCACGCAGTTGTGGGAGTGAGTGAGTCTGGTCGTGGACCTCGAGTCGCTGTGGCTCAGCAGGCCACAGTCAGGAAGAGAAGGTGGCCGTGAAGTGGGGATGAGCGAGGACAAACTGAAACCCACAAGGACACGTCTCCCTCCTCCATCCTTATGGTCACAGGCAACTCGCAGGAGACACTAGTGCCCTTCACCATGGAGCTTGTCCTAGGCTGGGCTCTCCAGAAGCAAGTACTCAGACCATTTCAGATGGAAGAGGATGTAGGATGTATGTTTATCGGGGATCAACATTTGTGAAAGGAAGAAGTGGGACTGTGCACAAGGAGAAGTTGGCAGTGATGCAGGCCTGACAAAGCCTCAGCCATTGGTGGGGCCAGGCGCTGGAGAGGAAGGCTGCACATTAGTGTCCCCTGTGCCTTGATGGCTATAGCTCAGTCACAGATGAGAGCTACCCCAGGAATGGTGCAACCTCAGGCGAGGCAGCTCCCTGAGGCTGACCTTCAAGTTGCTGATGGCTGGAGGCTGTCTGCTGCCCACTCTCCCTACAGCCAGGCAGCCAGCCCTGCCTCGAAGGGGCATCTGAGGGATGCATCTCCCTGCATACCATCGAGCTGCACAGATTCCTGACCTTGGCTGCCAGGAAGCTGAAGGAGGGGGTCTGGTGGGAGCTGCCCACAACCACCAGACAGCCAGCACCTGATGCCACGGAGGGAAGCAGGATGCTGACCTTGGAGTCCCCCTCCTGCAGACTCAGCTCAGGCCCTGTGGTCAGGGCTCAGGGCCCAGGTGCTACAGCCTGGGTCCCAGGGAGGTGACAGTCAGCTGTCCAGTGGTTCGTAGCTCAAGCCACTGTGTCCTCCCCGCATCTAGACCCACCACTATCTCCTCCTGAGGCCCTGCTGCTCCCCTTGGAGGGACCGTTCCTCTTCACGGCTTCATCCCATGTCCCCACAGGGCTCCAGTGGCCTAGAGTTTGCCATTCCCTTCTTACCACAGAGGTGAGTGAGTTCCCACATGTTTATTGGCAAGTTGAGTTCCTTATATTTTTCTTATCGATTTGGAGAAGTTCTTGACATCCTCCAGAAGCAGAGTATCTTCTAGAGTCTAGAGCAGTGCTCGCTAATAGGAATATAATGTGATCCACGTACAGCATTGTAAATTTTCTAATAGCCAAACTTAGTTTCCACTTATTCCTAACTTACTAAGATATCAGGAATCAAGACTGTATGTTAATAATTTTTCAGCATCCATTAAAATAAATTTATTTTTTCCCATTAGTGAATTACATTGATTATGTATGTTTTTGAATCAAACCTTGCTGGGAATTTATCCCATTGCTGGGATAAATTCAACATCTTCTTACTGAATTCTACTCCTGGATTCCATTTGCTAACAATCTGTTTAGGGTTATTATGTCTTTTAAATAAATGAAATTGACCTATATTTATGTTTTTGTTATTTGTTTAGGAACCAGGGTAATACTAGACTCAGAATGTCACAATCTTCTATTTTTTCCAATATTCTAGGTAAATATTTTGTGCAGATTTGGTAGAAAGTTTTCAGTATGACTCAGGGCCTCATGATTGTTAGGCATAAATCTTTGGCCTCCATATCAGTCAGGGCTCAACCAGAAAAACAGAACTAGTGGGAGATGTATATCAAGGGATTATTGAAGAGATTGGCTAAGGTGACTGTGGGGGTTGCCTGGGAAAGTTCCAAATCCTCAGGGCAGTTGTCAGGAAGGGCAGGCTGGCAGTTCTCAGGCACGGCCTGAAGCTGCTGCCCACCAGCAGAATTTCTCTCCCAGGGAAGTCTCAGTTCTGCATTACAGCCATTCAGTTGGTTGAATCAGGCTAACCCAGACCAGCTAGGATAATCTCCCTTAAAGTCAGCTGATCAAGAACTTTATTCACACCTACAAACTACCGTCCCAGCAACACCCAGATTAGTGTCTGATTGAATAACTGGGGACTGGAGCCTAGACAAGTTGACACATACAAAAGACCATCACAGCCCCCATTACAGTGTCATTGTTAATTTATTCTTTTTTCTACCCATACTGGAATAAAATTGTTAACACACAGCCGTACATATTTTTTCCTTATTTGTATAAGGCTATAAAATTTTTCCTGCATATAACTTTTGCCTGTTGCATGAGTTTTTGGTTCCGAAGATTCTCGTGATCTTCCTTTGTATTGTTTATGTTCAGATTTGATTGTTAATCTAGCCACAACTCTTTTGATATGTTTGAAAGCAGAGCTGGCCTGTGGTAAGCAAGGGCCTCATCCTCTGCAAATGCCAAAATAATGAGGGTGGTAAAGAACTTAATTGTTCTCTCAGGCAAAGCTGAATTCCTTTCTCCCCCTGCCCCACTCCCCAAACATGTCCTTTGAGGAGGACCAGGTGACCTAAAATTCATGTCTGCATGGCGATCAGACCACTAACCCCTCACTAGGACCCCTCCCAGGGTAGGAAGTTACTTTAAATGAGGTGGATTGGAAGCAAGGAGTGTTCAGTTCATTCATTAATTATGTTGATTTTTTTTAAAAACACTTAGCAGACATGGATTCGATACTTATTAATTATTGTAATTTCTATATGAGTGTCAATTCCCATGCCTGTAATTTGGGGTCCCCACTTTTCCAGTTGGATGGTGATAAATGGCCCAGTTATTAGATTAATCTCTCCCAATGCAGTGAGAGCCTCAGCAATTTTACTTCTGACCCAAACACTCGCAACACTAGAAATTTTATTTATTTCTAACCAAACCCCATGCCCTGCTTTATCCTGCATCTCCCCAGCAGAGACTTCCTTTCTCCAGCAAATGGAGAAGAGAAGAGGCGATCCTTGGGAGTATTTCCCAAATCCACGTGCCTTTGCAGCGGAGAGAGGAATTCTCAAAATGACTTTCTGTAAAGTGTCCACTATCAGGCTCCACCCACATTCTCACGTGCAGCTATTGTGGGTGCTTTTTTAGTTCTTTTTTCTAACTCCATCGGCAAATTCCCTTTCCTACTTTCTCTAAGCATGAAAAAAGAAACTGGTGAAATCTGGTCGATTATTCTTTTCTCTTCCAAATAAATAGTTGTTAGGGAGGGATCCCCATTAGAGGGACTTTCGTCTTTTCCTTTGGCAAGTGTATTCTGTTCCTCAATTGTTTTCCCTTCAAATTTGGGGGGGGGGTATTAGAGATTTTTAGAATTTGACCTTACGCATCCTTCCCCAAGGCTGCTTTGATGAGGGAGGTGTTAGCCACATGGAGTATGAGATACACAACTTCTAGAAACTTCCATCTCTGAATAACCCTTGCTCTAAAGTTGTTTGAATAGTGTGGGTATTTTTTGTGTTTTTACTTATTTGTTCATAATTTTATCGAGTTTAGTGGAGGGGACTTGCTCTGAGCTAGTTTAATATCACCTTCTTACCCCAGCAGTCCTATTCATTCAGAAATCCTAGACTCTTCACTCCCTGCTCCAGCGACATTTCCATCAGAGCAC